GCCTGAAAAGCACATTGATGGGCTCGATTGGAGAGCGTGGTCACCATCTGGTCGTGCTTCCCAGGAGGGACGGGACGCTGCTCCAACCTGGACAGCTTTGCTCCGAAAGCTTCCGCGAGGCTTGGCTCAAGGGGGGGTTACCGAGGGATAGCCCTGCTCGGTGAACCCCTCCACTCTGGTGATGGGTGCGGACTGGAGACCGGCTCCCCCAATCTACCAGGAAAGAACTGTCTGTGGCCTCGCCCGTAGGACGTCCTGTTGGAACACGAGGCCATATGGATCAAGACGGTGAGCCGGAATGGAACCCAGTAAACAACCTTCCCGCCGGATCATCCGAACTGGTGGGAAAGGCGTGGGACATAGAAAAAAAAGGGGTCCCTTCATGTCAGCCGCCTCCTGGGTTACGCCGGGCAACCCCTGAGGGCGCCGTCGGCCGGGAGCGGTGTGATCGCCGATGCGAAATGAGGTGGGATGGGGTGAGCATTCACTCAGCCCCCCTCCACCGACACTACGTTCCCCAGGAGGGAATGAGCAGCGGGGGGCTGCAGCTGAGCGCGCCTGTCCCGGAGGAACCATCCGATTCGCTCCGAGGGTCGGCGATAAGAGGAGAAATTACAAGATGGCGTTGTCCAGCGTGTAGTGACCTGTCACTGAGAAATACTCCTCGGCGCTTACCTTGAAATAAGACTGCTCGTCAGCTTCTCCTCGGGGAGGAGAACTCACCGGACGACCGAAGGTCGACTGCCGGGCCAAGCATCCTTAACAAAGGTTGGTCATCTACACAATTTTCCTTCTTTGTTCTTCTGACAGTGCTATTAGCTCGCTGAAGAAAAAATGGGAGCCGATTTCCCGCTCTTAACGTAATTTATACGGACCGGGTAGGGCCCACACAGCAGGTGGGCGTGGACTAAATTTGTCAGTGCTAATGCTCCGCATAAAGGGCGAAGCTTATACGAAATAGAACATATAAATTGAAAAGAATAAATGAAAGAAAATGGGATTAAATAACAAAATAAAAACAGCTAGATTATGAGGCGGTGTAGAAAACTAAAAACAGGAACATGTCTGCTTTGGTTTTTGCCGGGAACTTGCAGATGCTTGAAGTCACTTAGAGAGGTCAAGGTTGAGAGCTTCAGATATTTTTGCAAGATATTCCAAGTCAAGTCAAGTCAACTTTATTTATAGAGCACATTTAAAACAGAACCTGTTATCAAAGTGCTTAACAACAACAACAATCAATGAGTACATTAAAGAGAAAAATATATAAACATATATATACAATACACTAATAATGATAATAACTGAAGAATTAATAAAAAGCATTTAAAACATAAGGTCACATATTAAAAAACACTAGAACAATTTACACTGTGTGAAATGCCTGAGGGAACAGATGTGTTTTTAGCAGGGATTTGAAGTGAGGAAGGAAGGTGGCCTGCCTGATGTTGGGGGGCAGGTTGTTCCACAGTTTGGGGCCCATGACTGAAAAAGCCCCATCTCCTCTGAGCTTCAGTCTTGTTTTTGGAACAGCCAAAAGCAGCTGATCAGATGATCTCAGGGCCCGAGAGGGAACGTAAGTTTCCAGAAGCTCAGAGAGGTAAAGGGGTGCGAGGCCATTTAGGCATTTGAAGGTCAGCAGAAG